TCAAAACTTTGTTTCGATTGAAGTATTATATGTTTCAATTCAAAGAATAGGTGCCTCGAAAAATGTACGCACAAATTTAAAAAAAAATCAGGTTATACACAATTTAAAGGATGATACTTAGACAGTTAAAAAAACAATCAAAAATTGAAATTGAAATTTTTACAGGGTTCGTCACTGTTCGGCATCGCGTACCGTTGTAAAGCTTCATAATAGAGGGGCATTGTTTCGCGTAATAAGAAGGTTCCAGGGCGTTGCAACGGACTCGTAAACGTCCATGGAACACGCGTGCTGCACGACCAGGGAGTGTATTTCGCATTTTCCACTCGCGTGGACGATTAAGTCATTCACGAGGAACAATTTTCGCCGGCGGCGGCGTGTACCGTTACCGAAATTGCATCCGCTTTTATTGGTACGTAATTTCATCCGGAATGGAAATCGGACGGATTGAATCTTGTGTTCCTCGCGTTTCCCTCGAATAAAACTTTCATCGGAAAAAGCTGTGAACGACAGCCGATGAATTCTGTCGCTCCATATCTTTCTGTGTGCTGTATTCGTTTAAAGGAACCGTCTCATGAAACGCCAAAATTCTTCAATCAAATTACCCCAACTAATATACAGGTTGTCCGATTTAAATCGATCCATTCGAATATCTCTGAAACTGCTGATGATATTAAAAAATATTTCAGACAAAAGTTAAATGGTATTTCAAAATCTAAATATTTCTTAATATCGTCAATAATTTCGGAGATATTCAAGTGGGTCGATTTAAATGAGACAACCCTTATAAATAGTAAATTCAAATGTTTTTTCACACTATCTCTGACGATTCATAATTCCGCCCTAAACAACAAAGTAATGGGAATATAATATTTTTTCTCCTAGTAGGTTGTTCAGCTCGTCGGACAAGAAACCGACAGAACATTTTCAATTAATTTAGCAGAACCGCCGAAACTACGAAACGGAGCAATTACACTTAACGTAGTCGCAAGCTGTCGCTTCGTGTCGTAGTAGAAACGGTAACGCTGGATCGAACTTAACGATCGAGATTCGCTCGGTTTTCGCACCTGCGCTGTTCGTCATTACACCGGATATACCAGGCTCCATCTGCAAATCGATCGAAGAAACGTTTATCAAGATCCGAACCCTTTCATCGATCTCGTCGACGACATTCCTCTTCGAGAACGAATCAATCGCCTGACGAGTTTGTTCTCCCAATTTCACATTCAATTTTACGCGACGTTTCTCCGTTCAATATTGTCCGCCTTCCCTTTTGTACAGCTCGAATGCCAACCAGTACGCTAACAATCAGCAGAACATCGATTCAACGATGTTCTTTAAATTACGTTGCTCTTTATTGCTCGAGGGGGCGAATGGAGCTTGCATACTAATCCTTACGGCGTTCGAAAGTTTTCTGTCGCGACGATTACAAGCCTTAGTAGACCGTTACGTTAACATTTCCGTTTAACGATCTTCTCGATCCAGTTCCATTCGCAGGGATGTTAAAACACGAGAACCGAAAAAAGACGAATTCGCTACGTTCGAGGAAAAGCCGTCTTTGTTCCGGAAAATCTCGTTCGACGACTTCCATCGGGGGGGGGGGGGACACTTGGAAGGAAATCCTGTTGTCGTATCTCTCGAACGCTACCGTATTCTCGATCGTACGATTTAAATCCCCCGATCCTCTTTTTCGGAGCGTTTAAAGGTACGCGTCTCCTTTTCGCCACGTATCGCATTTTCGGTTCTTCTTTCGGTAAAAACCGAGGCGAAACGCGGCGAAGCGGAAACACGATCGAAGTGATCGAATACGCACGGTAATTCCGAATGAGAAGCGTCAGCGAGGGGACGATTAGGATTTGGCGCTATGAAAAATTATTGGCTGGCTGATCTCGAGTCTGGTTGCTTGAAAATATCTGGACCGGAAACAATCCGCAATTCTCAGCGCTACGATACGAACAGGTCAGTCGGAAGAATTTTCCCTCGGACGGTCAGATTTCACCGGAGTGAAATATGCTCGTGTATACCAGACGCGAAAGGAACCGCAGATAAGAGGGTGGTCCATTTTGTTAGTCGAATTACCTACCTTTTTTATATTGTAATCCCATATGGACCCGTACACTCAAATTATCAGTTATCTTTTGATACCTATATGCATAATCGCAGAAACTGTGGTCAATTATTGAACTTGTATGTTTGATCGATGATCAATGAGTTAACCGACGTGTAGCAGAACGGATCCAATGGACGAGGAATAGGAATTACAGGTGAACGACCAGCAGAGAATCGTGTATGGTCCGTCCACACGTGACAGAGAGTACGGTAGTGACTCGACGCAACGTTAACTTCAATTAATTTTCATATGGACAATTTTAAAATGCTCATAATTTTAGAAATTTTCTCTTAATCCGAACAAATAGGACTATATCTTCATTTATTTTTCAAAGTTTTCAATTGGATCCTACTATTACAACATTGCATTTCTTTAAAACAATTGCAAAATAAATTGTGAAAAAATATTTTTTAGGTACTTTCATGTTTCCGCTATAAACACCCACAATGCTTATTTTAATCAGTTGGTTATTAGTTCAACGGTAATGAATTATTGAAAAAAATTGACATATTTTAAACAGAAAACCTCGACGTCGCGAGGATGACGTGAAAGACGAAACGAAACGAGAGTCGCTACCGGCTGGTACACGGTAGCGTCGAGGCCGGGCAAGGCGGCCCGTCGAAGATTTATGGAAATTGCGATAACGAGAAACACGCGACTCCGTATGAACACCGAATTCCGATATCTCTGTTGTGTATACACGATATACGCATTGTGTGCGGCGTCACGCACGACTCGTTCTTTTGGCGCAACTATCAGCTGCAACCATCCTCGATTTAACCAACGAATAACCACACGGCGTTCCGTTTTATCTTATACAGGGGCACGATTCACACGAGCCTACAGTAAATTATCGATGAATGTTCGAAGTTACTACAAGACTATTAAGATTAGGGGAGACCTAGGCAAATTGTAACACAATGAAAATTTTCTGAACGACAAATTTGGCAACGCAGCAGGATGCCAGAGCGGGTTGAAAATATTGCTATCGTCGGTTTCATTGCAACAATCGATCATCAAGTGTCTGCTTTGTAGCCACAGGTTAGATTTTTATTATTTGGAGCACGTATGTAAATATTGTCCTAGCACTTTTAATTGAATTAACCACCATCAGAAACCGTTTGAATTTTTTTGCTTCTTTGTTGCAAACGAATCATTACGCATTGGTTTATTATATTATGTACGCATTCTAGTAATTTAATGTTTAGTTTCTCGTTTGCTGAGACAAAACGGAAAAATTCAAGATCGGGGTAATTTGTAACAAATTGCTTGGGGCAAAATGTAAGATGTTACTACTTATCCTGCTCTAAATGGTCATACAGCAAACTTGTTATTTTCTGAAATATTAGTTACTTTCAAGATGAGAACGTACAAGAAAAGGTTCTACTTCCAAAGAAGATATGAAAATTGCAATGACAGAAATATTGTTTGTATCTGTCAGTGAATAAGCAATGATTGTTTAATCCATGTATATCAAATGTTTAATAATGATATGCATTTTCATTTATATTTTTTGTAAATGTTGTGAGGAAATCACTTTTGAGAAAAAATTGTGAACATTTTTTTGTTACAATCTGCCCCGGTCTCTCCTAATCGATACTTCGAAACATTAGTACAGTAAATCATCGATAAGTATTCGAAGACTCCTCGCCACTGAGTATTCAGACGTTATCCCCACAATTGGGTGTTTAAGTGGTTCCACAGGGGATATTCCAATGGTGGGGATGACTTCTGAACACTCACTGCCGAGGAGCCTTCCAACACTTATCGATGATTTACTGTATTAACGTTTCTCAGACGATCTCAGAATCACCCTTGAATAAATGAACTCGATTGCTTCAACCTTATTTCTCGGAAATATAGTCGAACGATTTTTCAAATTTACCCCGTGATACAGGATGAAAAACCGGTATTACACGTAACTCCGATGAAGATTATTCCGTCGACTGTCACGCGAGCGAGACATTAATTATGCGGTTTCACGATACGCACGACCAACGCCGCCTCAACCCTTGTGATTCGTGAGATCGATTTCTCCCTTTGGTCGACGAAACAGGTGCTCCCGCGTTTTATACGGATCGGAATAACGATAAGCTGTTTCTTCCGTGATTTAATAACGGTAACCGAGCATTAGAAAAAACGGGAATTCACGAAATCAGATGTGTCGTCTGATTCTTGTTAAACTGATTCCCCTTGTTCGGCACAAGATAGGGGAGACCGAGTCTGATTGTCTATAGGGGGTAGGTTGAATAATTGTTAATAACTTTGCAGTGACGTGTGCTCTACCGCGGACAGATTTATTCTAGATACAAGTCACTTGCACTGTGCCATTTAATCACTTCAGACACCTCGATTGTACGTTGTTCGAGAGTTATCAACGTTTGTCAAAAAATTGACTACATAAGTAAATATCTTCAGATTTTATGATTTCAAGTTCTATATAGTTACAGTAGAATAAATTTTAAAGGTATATTTTATAATTGGTTTGTTAGACGACCTATTGAAACAGTATTCTTTTTATAGACTAATAATTTAAGATTATGTGGAGTAGTCAAGTAAAAGTGATCGCCAGACCCACCAGACAAGCATGGAAGGTATTAAAAAAACATTAAAATACCTTAATTGTTATCACATTAAGTCAAGTTTAATCATCTAATCAGATATCGAAATATAATAATTGTTATAACGATATTTCTCCCACGTAATGTATTAAAAATCAAACACTGCAAAACTGGCTTATCAGCCCCGGTCTCCTCTACTGACGTTTACGTTAGAAACGTTCAAAAACTCTGAAAACGCTATAGAGAACCATGAAAGGGTATGGTATAGCAGTGGCGAATCTCTGACCAAAAAAAAGCAGTATTGACAATGAAAAGAAATCGTCGGTACTCACAATACGTTTCGCGCATGAGTCGATCGATGGTATCCTGCTTCAGTTTACTATTCTTCTTGCCCATGTTTCCTCGGAGGGATTCCTTCTTGTCGGTGGTTTAACGCGTCTATCGGCGGTTCCAAATGGTTTTTCTCGTTCGAACTCCGAGCAGTCTTACCGTTCCCGCCGCATCTTTCGGATTCCTCGGAACGGTACCGCGGGATTCCCGTATATGCTCGACTTTGTCCGTTTCGAGGCGCACGGAGAACGAGACAGACCGCGTTCAATGTGTCGTGAAACGTTTAAGATCGTCCAGAAAAGCACACGCGCGATCGAACGAATGAATTGAGAGTCAAATTTAAGTAGAGGAACCAACGGGATTGGATCCCAGTGGCTTTCGACTTTCTCCGTCGACTGGTCTCCCCGGGGAAAAAAAGAAAGCTTTTCTCAAGGTTACGTTCGAGCTTTTCCTCGAGTTCCCGCGAGAAGAACTTTTCTTCCGGCAACTTTTCTCTGTCGGCCGACAGACTCCTCGAAAATGTTGCTGGCAGTCTATTGAATTTGCAAGGTGCGAATCCACGCGCTTTCTATCGGTTCGCCTGGGGATATCTCGTGCATCAGTCCGTCCTCAGTAGGCGTCTGGAAAAGGCGACTTTGCGTCGATTCGTTGCAGACGTTGGTGTTTCGCTTTTGTTTTCGAGTTCGATCGCGAGACTCGATTCCACGTTTTACTCGCGATTCAATTTCTGTTACGCCGCTTCGAAGACAGATCGTGATCGCGAGGGATTCCTTGACGGTTCCTCGACATTCGAATACGTTTCAAAATTCTGCGTGCTTCGATTCTGTTCATCCTTTGTTCACTTTGCTAGCCAATTTTGAAATCTTGTCGCGCGTATGACCAGTCGAACTCTCGATCGCGAACGAAAAAATCATGTTTAAATACGAAATTTGGGGGACGTAAACTGTACTATGTTATCACTAGACTGTGGATTTTATGCATTTATAGAATATCCGATTGTTTAAAATTCAATACAGTAGAAAATTTCATGAAATTTCTTCTTTATACAGACTCCTCTCGATTATCGTCCCGGACAATAATCTAATCCGCGCCGGGACAATAATCGTATAGGGAGAAATGCTTCCGACCCTTGTAAATTCGTTTTTTGTCCAAACCTCGGCAATAAAAGCGGAGAGGCAACAAACTCCACCCCTCCTCCCCCAGTGGTGGGGATAACGCCTGGACACTAATCGAGAGGAATCTGTATTTCGAACCCTTAACAGGGTAAACAAATTTGTCTATACGTCCACTTCCGAGAAATCAGCCCATAAAACTCTGTATTTACAGAAACACCCGCAATCTTGTTATCACTTCTGTGCTAACAAGCAGATAAAGACTGTTGGACATTTGACAGGAATTAAAGTACGTTATGAGCCGTAAAGTTCGTAACTCGAAAACGAGGCGTATCGACATCGTGCACGCCATGAATTGGTAACTCGAAAGCATTCGTGTCACGCCTTTCACAGGCCATTACGGGGGACTCGAAATGTCACCGGATTTATTAACTGAATTTCCACGGCTGCAGTCGCTGATTACATTTTGCAGCCGCTGAACGAAAAGCGGAAACGTCATTTCAAGATATACCATTCCTCGAGGTTATTGCGTATTACAAGCCTGTTAATTACTCAACGAAACGATGCGAGGTAAATGTAATTGGTGAACGTTATCGAAGGTCTTTGAACGATTTTTCGAGCATGGTCGACGAAAGATGCATCGAAGAATTTCATTTAACGTCTCGACGGTTTATCTTGGCGTGGCGCGGAATGGAAGCTGAATTCCAAAAGTCAGACGACTGGATCTCGTTTCACGGAAAAAGAAACACCCCGTGAGAAACGGCCACGACAAAGGCAAAGAAACGTTTGTCGTTGATAAATGGTCCGAGGAACGGAAACTGTAGCCCGCTCGCGAGAGAATTAACACGGAAACCAATTGTTCCGAACTTGGAACTCGATCGACTATTAAACTTCGGAGTATGGCGGTTGAAAGGAGCTTTTGCGGAATTTTGCGAGATTAAAAAGTATCCTTCGTGGAACTAGTAACTATTGTGAGACTGACAGTGCTTTTTTTTGGAAAAAAAAAAGAAACAAACGCTTGGATGCTGAGCAATCGTTTGCAACCGGAAGTTCCTTTTGGGTGAAAGTCTGCGCATGAACGTTCAAACTTCGAATCAAAGATATGGAAACTTGCAACGGTTCGACCGTTCTAACACTGGTTCCCGGCTATTACATTAATCTCGCTGCGAATAATTGCTTCGTTACTCGTTGCATTATTCACGAACGTTTCTCTGTGTAGGATAACCAGCCAGGAAACAGCGCGAGGGCAATCCATTTGCGATCTCCATAGTCGGACTACCTCGGCGTGCAAAGGAAAGAACGTATATACGAGAGGTTAGGAATGCTTTGTACTCTCTAGACAGAGGTTAGAAATGCGAAAAAAAAAACAATGGTCGACATTCCTCCCTGTCTGGAAAAGACGAGGCATTAACGTGTAGATGCACAGTGGTCCAGAATCAATATTTAGCAACTCAAATGATCCAAAGTAAATTCCTCTTATTATCCAAAAAAAGTCACATTAACTTATTATTAACTATGGAAGATTTGTCCCCTGCCTTATTGTTTCCCTCAAACTTTTTCGTATCATTAATCTCACTTAAAAATAGAAAAAGGAAATCTCGAAAAATTCATACTTTCATGAATATGTGCAGAATACTTTTACTTATACTATTACCTTTTATTGTATGTCCACTTTCATTTAAATAAAATGATAAGTTAGGATATTTTTTATTGTCTAAGTTTCTTGTAAATTTGGACTCAGGACCACTATGAGCCGTTTCGCGTGTTCGCGAAAGGGATGTCCTGTTTCATCGTATTCCGCGATTCCATCGCGCAAGAACACATCAATGGAAAAGAGAACGATTCTCGGTGGTGAAATCGAGCTTCATTGGAACGGGCGAAAGTCGAACGATTTCCAGCCAGCCGAGGCTCGATCGTATCCTTGACCCTCGACGACCGTGACAAGCCTTTCAATATCGAGATTGCGAACAATCATTCGATACTTTTATTCGATTCCAAATTAGCTTCGAGAAATCTCTAGGATGACGCGTGCCGCCTCATTTCACGGCTAAAAGCATCCGCCTACACGAGAGCTTTTAACAGTAAACGGATGGAAGCCGCGGCTAAATTGAATGAAACTTTCCGCGAGAATTTTACGATCCGATTAACAAATTATTCCATCGAACAATGGAAAGTAAACTTTTATCGGTTAATGTAGAGGAAACGAATTGAATTTTCGCCAGTAAAGACTGTAATTGCTTGCCCCCGCCCCCACAATAAAACGGAATTTCTGGTTATCGCGGGTAAAGCAGTGGATTCGATCGGAATGCGAATTTCGATGTGAAAGTTTCGCGTTGAAATTTCGCTAAAGCATGCCGCCACTGGTGGATGGAAGAAAACGAAAAACAAAGGACCAACCGCTCGCAATTATATCGATACTTTGAAAAAATACCGGTCCGTTCGCGCTTGAACCTAGAGGAATTCCACTTATCGATCCGTCGGTGTTTCCGCTACGGTGTATACGTGCAGTCCATTCATAAGGCGAACAAGTTATCGACGCGGACTCGATCCGATGCACCGCCAGACCGATCACTCTACCGTTCTACTCGAGAAGTGGCAACGAGGAAAAGTGATATCGTCGTTGATCATTCCACAGTTTGGTTTTTCGTCTACGGGATCCTTCCAACCAAACAAGAAGATCCCCAAATGTATAGTGAAAGTAAGGAACGTCAAAATTAGGAATGAATTCAGTAAATCATGGATGAGTGTTTAATGGCCATATGGGGTTGAAACAAATATCACTGGCTTCAGAATTCGAAGCTCTATCACTGTGGTAAACCTTATACATGGGGACCTTTCCTTGTTAATGCTGAAGAGCCTCCGAACACTCATCGAAGATTTACTGTAGGTATCTAGAATTCGCGCGAAAAAGCAAAATAAACGTCGGTGGAACATGCTAGCTTTTTTGAAACGTCCGGAAATTCGTTGAAACGGCCCTGAAGTGAACAATTGCACGGTGGAATTCTGATTGTTCGGTACTGTAACTCCAACGCTATTGGATTATCGGATATTTCCGGTCTATTGGCCGATATTCCCAGACGTAAAGGACGACGGCTGTCTGCACTTGGCACGTTGCTTCGTCGCGGTTAATAACGGGAATCGTTCGAAATTTAATTCTATATCATTTGTAATAAATTCGAGGGACTTTATAAACGGTACCTTGGAAAGGATAGAGAAGATAGATAGGAGCTTCCCGAAAATGAGAATATCTTTACCGTAACTTCGCTGCGTGAACAAATGCACAGGGACCTGCTCGTGGACAATATTAAACACGTTTACGGGCCCCCAGTTCTCGGCGACGAATTTAATAGTCGACGAAGCACGCCTTGTGTCTCGCGATTGCGTCGTACGAACCGTGATAAGCGATAAGACGAAAGCAAATCTCGTGTCTTTTGCTCGACGAGCGTTACAAGTGAAACTCGCTGGATTCGCTCGAGCGGAAGTACCGTATTGCGCACTGCTTCGTTGAAGATCGTTTCGTTGAAACGTATAATACGCGTGACTATTATCCCTTGACCCGTATTATACAGTAAATCATCGATGAGTGTCCGAGGGCTCGTGGACACTGAACATTAAATATTTCATAAACTAATGGCCATACACGACAGAAACAAATACCATTGGCTTCAGAATTCCAAGGTCTACCACTGTGCTGAACCTCACTAAAAAGTCATCGTTATACCTAGTGACTTCTCTTCGTCAGTACCGAGAAGGCATCATCGATGATTTACTGTATTTGATTGTATCATGGCAATCGGTTCGACGTGTCCGAATGGAATTCTGTCGCGCACCGTCTCCACGTCGAACCGCAATGGACCACCGAGTGTTTTAGCTCCTGACGTTCACCGTGTATGCCACGAAACCAACAAACATTCATCAAAACGAACGATCCACGATTAGAGAAAGAACCGACGT